TTCATTTGCCTTTTTGCGATTCGTGATTAATAAAAATAATAAAATTTTACTTACAAATTAAAATCAAAAGAAATTTAACAAAGTTATAAACCGTTGCACCGTGAACGTCTAGTCTGGTCTGGTCTAGTACACCAATAGTGCTACTTGTTCATTGATGGCACATATAATTGAATTAAGTCGTATACCGAGCAAAATTTGTTTCGTCCAAACAGGATGTATTCTAAAGCAGACGTATACCAAGGTACCACTGTGTGTGTGTGAACTTATTTAAAATAGAAAATTATTCTGAATTACAATAAAATCCGACAAACTTGACTTAATGTAAACTGAGCAAGTGATGAGTTACTGAAAATAACAAGTTTGATGACATAGCAATGATGCTAGTCTGAATAGTGAAATTTTCATAAAGGTATTATATGTGCAAATTCATATATGTATTAAATATGTATCACTAATGGCTATTACAATTTATAGTAAAATTTTTAATTAAAAAAATATTGCCTATTCAGTGGACACTTTTGAGTTAGTGACATTCATGTGATGTTTTACAGTAGCACTGTGGAAAAAGAGTTATATTCTTTATTAACATATGGAATTAATGCTATTGTCAAGTGTCACCAATGAAGAATGATAATTTATTTGATCCAAGGGTTAAGTTATAGAGATAAAAATTAGATTATATATATATACACACACACACATACTTTAATTTTTTTTCTTTTAAACATGACAAGTTTTATGAATTGTTGAATATTAAGAGTCAAGTTTCCTGGACTATACTGTATAATTATAATCTAATTTAGATACAAATTTAAATGTTGAACAGCAAATTCTCAAATTAACAAACTGAATATAAGAAAATATACAAATATAGTAAAAACTTGATTAACTGAGACAATTCCACTAAGGTTCTAAATTAGCTAAGATAAATTGTAGAATAATATTTGCTGACAGAGACAAGAAAATATAGTATACAATCAACCCCCCTATAACACGGTAGATACATTCTGAGTTTTATGAAACCATTTCCTATGAGTCCTTAAATACATGAGCCAATCACAGCCTGGCATGTATGCAGTTTACAGACTATGGCTGTTTGAAAGGTTTCTTCCATAAAATTAATCGATTCTAGACTAATTTGACTCAACATTTCCAAAATATGTATAATTTTTTGGGAATAATCCATATAAACTATGCTATAAACAAAAAATTGTAGGATTACTTACCGAGTGTGCACCGTTCGACTATGCCGTTGCTTAAGCTTGTTTTCATTGTGGAGATTGATATCAAATGGCGCTCGCGTGCTTCCCGATAAATTATTTTTTTTTGCGAAAAATTCGCTTAACTCTATAATTTTTATGGACATTACATAATAAATGGTTTTTAGTAGGTCCGCTGCTCGTTTAAACTCAACGGTTTGTGCAATCCTGTTGTGACACGAGTCGGTGATGACGTTTTACCGAATTATAGGAGTTTTTTTAGCATGTTTGTATGAATACTGTCGCAATTTTTTTGCCGTGATATAGGAATTTGAACTATAGGAACCCGTGTTATAGGGGGGTCGACTGTCGTTCATTTCACAAATCTTGACTAGATAACATGAAATATTCAAAAGGTGTTGTATAAGTTTAAAAAAAAAATTACAAAAATTTTAATTGTAATCATCATAAAACTTTAATTAGTCAATCATTTTGTACCAAACATCCATAGTATCTTTAATCCACAATCCACATTACCCAGATAATCACAATTCTAGTGCATTAAAAAATGCAACTCACATTAACCAATTAACCAGTGTGCATAAGATTCAAAACTTGCTAACATTTTCGTAGCCCCTTCTGGGCTCTTCTTCGGGCTTCTTTTTTTATTCAAAACAAGCTGGCCATTAACATTCGAATATAAATCGATTGGTAATAGATCTTGGTCACCACACGTGCATGCATTTCCATTAGATGTTTAAATAAGATCAAACAATACGATGATTTCGAATGCACATGCATTCCATTTTTTAAATATGATTGCAAATTAAATATTATTGTCTAGTAGAACCTACCACGCTTTAAAAAGGCACATTTTTTCCCTAAAATTGATGCAGGTGATTCTTCAGCAAGCCTTAAAAATTTCAATCGCCTCCAACCATTTGAAGTGTTCAGGATGATATGGGCTCCGGTGAAGTCTGGCATACTATCAGGGACAGTTGATTATATGTGGAGGGGGCTGTTGTACCTCTATTATGTTGTATGTCAAATTTATGCTCCCATATCCTGACCCACATTAAACGTTTAGTGGAGCCAACATAGACCATTTCCCTATTCCATCCGTTGTCTCTGATAGGGACGCTATAAATGCCCAGTAGTCTGTTGGGGTTAGATCTTTTCCATCATGTAGTATGTTGAAAATGGATGTGCATCTCCTGTAGGCAATATTGACCCGATGTCTCTTGGCAATTGCGGTGTACTGTACAAGAATTTTAAATGAGAGTTAGAAGTGAGGGGGATCCTCTCCTTATCCTATTCCTGTTTATCTCTTATTACAGTAGAACCTCCATTATCCAAATTTTCGATTATCCGGATTGTTCAAGATAAACAAAAATTTTACATTTGCTGATTTGAATTTGCTGATTTGCACTTCGCGAATTACGACACTGTTTATGTACGTGATGAAATGCATAACTTTTTTTGTTTCAACAACGTCTCACCCAGCACAGTGGTCGTAAACTCTTAAATATATTTTACGTAGTAATAAAAATATAACTTGACATACGTATTTATAAATAATTTATATTCAAATTACATCATTTCTATGACCAAGGGCGGCGTAAGGCATGGACGACGTGGGCCACCGCCTATGCCTCGCGGTCCGAAGGGCCTCGCGCCTCGAAGGTTTATGCATTACTTAAAAGCCGCGAACGCGACGAAAAAATTTTACTCGTCATAAAACGATAAATAGTTTGTCAAATTTTTATTCATAAAAATGCAGTTTCAACTGCTTTTTATTTTATAAAATCCGTCTTCTTGCGCCACCAGAGGGCCTTTTAAACAATAGGTAGTCTGTTAGCGTTGGTCAGTAGTAGTCCAAATTCAATACGAACGTTTGTTTCTTGAAAATTTGATCACGATTTAAATACAGTATTTACTTTTAATATTACCGATATGTCATCGAAAAGAAAACGTATTGTATTATCATTAAAAAACAAATTAAAGTATTTGTTTCGATTATCCGGATTTTTCCTTATCCGGACTACCTTCATCCCCAATCAGTCCGGATAATCGAGGTTCTACTGTACTTTGGTTGAACTGGTGGATGCTTCTTTCATATGTCTGTGGCATTCACATAATCTTTGTATAAGGTCGTTATAACCATGCGCCATGACTATTCCTTCTATACTTCTTACTTCTTGTGCTAGCGCTCGAGTGAAAGAATGCGTGAATGCTCTTCTAACCAAGGCCCTGAATGCTGCTATTTTATATGGAAAAGGATCACACAATCCAATTGGAATATAAGTGAAGATAGCAGATGGTTTATAATAAATAGATGTGCATATGTCTGACCCTTCAATTGTAATATCTATGTCCAAGAAGTGGACCCTAGTGGGGCTGTGTTGATCAAGAAACAGCATGTACAGAACGTTAGCAAGCTTTGAATTGTATGCACACCAGTTAATTGGTTAATGTGAGTCGCATTTTTTTATGTTCATTCCAGTGTTGTGAAGTTAACTAGTGCATTAAATTTAATATAGTCAATCTACCACAATCTTATTCAAAAAACTCGGACCGCCACAAAAGAACACTAATGAACCTCAACACAGACGAGGGCACATGGAGGCAACCAAGATATAGATGTAGAAAGAATACCGATTATGAACAACCCAGCCTTGAGATCCATTTATGCATCTATCGCCAAAAAACGTAAGATTGACATTGCATACAGGAGAACCCCAACGATATATGACATGTTACATAATGGTAAGGACCCATCTGACCTGAGTAAGTTGCCAGGCATTAATATAGTCAAGTTATCAAATTTTATGTTAAAATAAAAATAATGTAAAAGTTAGAGCAAAATTAGAAAAAAGGGCCCATGAAGTAAGGATAAACTTTTACCAAAATAAATTATGAAATAATACAATTATTCTTTTCTATGACAAATTTATTTTGGTAGCATTTGTATAAATTTAAAATTCTTAAAACTAAATTTTTAAAATCACTATAGATCATATGCTTTAATTAATTCAGCATACTATCCTATTTTGATAAAAAGTACAAAATGAATTTTTCTGATTTTATAAAACATACTATAGTAAAGAATAATAATGTTTATAAACAAATTCAGGTGTTACAGATGTGGAGAAAACCCGGAAAGCTCCACATGGCCAACCCACAATTGAACTCCATGTTTAGGGAACAGAACCAGAACCACTTGGCCACTCATAGGCCTTAATACTAATGTGTCTATATTTTACAAAAAAAAATCAAAATATATTAATATATTTTTAATATTTCTTAAATTGCTGATAATTTTAAAAATTGCAATAATATTTATAGATTTAATATGAGAACTTTCAAAAAAACATCAATTAAGAAATGACAATAAATACTTCTTTTAAACTAAAAATTTTTAAATACTTTAAAAAATACACAATTCAATTAAGATATAACACTAATTATATTATTATTTTATTATGAAATTATTATTTCAGATAGCAAAATGCTATATATACAAACTAATTTTTACTTTGTATATGAATATAAAGTAAATGTTAATTTAATTAAATTAGCATTAACTGATCACTGTAAACTTTAACATGCGATTAAAATATTAACGTGATTTAAAATCAAATAGTTATTTACCGAATCTGACATATAATTTATTTTAGACAGATTACAAACTGTTGTGATCATTTTGATTTAGGCCTAATAGTATATGTTCAACAGTATTCACGATCAAATTGCTATACATTAAATATCACACTATTAAATAGCTAAAGTTGTTCTTCTTACCTAACAATTCAAAATTAATTTGTAAGCTAGATCTTTATTACTTAACGAAAACAGGCGATGTCAACAAATTACTCCTCTCAAAGAAGGAAAGAACACATCAAAATGGCGCCAAATACCGTACAGAGACCTCAATCAACAAAACATAAATAAAAAAAAAATGTATTAAAATTTAATATAGAAAACTTTTAATTATTATAAATTTATTATTTTAAATAATTATCAAAATACTGTAATATTTTTTTATTTTTAAATCTTTATACATATTTAATCGGATATTTTCTATTGTCATGCGCGTATTTATTTCTGTTGCTAGGCGACCATATATCAACAAAATGGAATGCCATGTGTCTAAACGAAATTGATCGTGCAATGTCGTAAAAGTAATTGTCTAACAATTTTTTATTTATAGTTATTTAGTGAAATTTTGATTAAAACATTTAGAATTACTTTTTTTATTTATATATACTTATTTAATTACGTAATGATGGTGATTGTATTATATCTTAAAATGAACAAATTATAAAGTTTATTGTTTTATCATTTCAGATAAAAGTTTCATTCTACAATGTCAAGTGGGGATTCTAGAAAAGACTTTATATTGTCTGCCATTGTAGATTTTTTTCAGTTGCAATCAAAACAATATTTGTTGTCGTCATTATTTTCTTCAGAATCATTAAATAATTTTTTAGACGATAAAAATTGTTTTATTTTAAGTGCTCAGATTGGTACAACTAAAGAAGAAATAGAAATTATATTACAAAACAAGGTAATTTTAAACGATTTATATCCAAAACTTTTATATACTGTACATTAAAAATTTAGCATCATTTTATGTTGCCTCATTTTAATTAAAATGTTACCTGAGAACTTAAAACTGTACTTATAAAAAATATACAGTGAGTCCTCATTTAACATCATTGCTAGGTTTGTGGAAACTATGAGAGGTTCATCTCTAAAATGTGAATGTTGAACAGTGAGCATTGCCATCCTGTAAGCCCAGAAGTTTGACAATGGCATTTGGAAAGTCAAGCATGATTCCAATGACATTCCAAATGCCATTGTCAAACTTCTAGGCTTACAGGATGGCAACGCTCAATGTTTGACGTTCATGTTTTAGAAATGAAAACTTTGGCTTCAACCTCTCTATTAAGTGAAAATGTTGTGAAACCAATTTTACCATAAGCTAGTTGATATAAGTCAGATATACTGTAATTCAGTTAATGTTCTAATGGGATCATGTTTGCAACCTCCAACATTTATTTTCCACCCCATAGAATCAATTTTACAAAGAAAATTTGACAGTGATAATTGTAAATGGTAACAAATGTACTTGTATCTTTCCTTGACAATGTTATACTGAAACAATATTAAGTAAGGACTTGCTGTATACTAAGATTTTACAGAAACATTATTTCCATATCAGTGATGCATTCAAGATTTAATATTTGGGGGTGCCAAGTTGAATGGATAAAAAAATTTTTAATGCGAATTCAAAAATTTTCCACTTAATGTGGCCACTAATTCATAAGTAATATAGAAATAGAACAAATGACATAATATAAATAAAAGAATTGAATTTTAATTAGGAAAATATTTTTGGAAAATTTATTAGTGTTTTTTTTCCTTTTACTTTAGGGCATGCCAGGGCCTCTTGGCCCATCTGGATGTGCTACTGCTCTGTATTAAATAGATTTTTAAATTCGATTTTTTTATATTTAATTCAATACAAATGCTAATGTAAACACATTAGCATTTGTATTGAATTATTCTGTGTAATATTCTATATTTTGATATTGCTTAATAATAAGCTTAATAAAATATAAAATTGTTTTCCAGTGTGAAAGTGACAAAACTATTTTGAAACTTGTTATTATTAATCCAATATGCTCATTTATTTAAAAATTCTATTAATTAATAGATTTATAAAGATAAATATTTTAAAAAACTCTGTTCTTTAGGTATAAAATTTTTTATTTCTATCATAGATTTGGTTAAGTTTACAATGGGGTGGGGTGGCTGGGTATTGAAGGTTAGGGCCTGGAATATCTAGATTATAATTTGACCATTGCTTTTTTATTACCAAAAAATCAAAATGCTATTCAAGTAAGAAAAAAATTGTGGTACATGTATGGAGATGATGTGTTGAGAGAAAGACAGTGCCAAAACTGGTTTACAAAATTTCATTCTGGCAATTTTAATATTGAAGATACACTACGTTCTGGATGGCCAATTGAAGCCAATGAAAACAAAATAAAGGTACTGATTGAAGCAAACTGCCGAATAACAACACATGAAATCACTAAGAGATTAAATTTGTCAAATTGAACTGTTTATGATTATTTGAAACAAATTGGTTTCGTTTCAAAGCTTGATATATAGATTCCACATGTTCTTAAAGAGAGATGCTCTCTTTGGTGGGATTTTAAGGAAATTTTTTTTTTTGGGCTTTTACCAGACAATTTAACAATTGATTCGAAAGTGTACTGCCATTGAGTAAACAAATTGAGTAATATCATCAAACAGAAAAGGCGGCCAGAATTGATCAACAAAACAGGTGTAGTGTTTTACCACGATAATGTCAAATTTCACACAAGTTTGGTAACTCGTCAGAAACTGTTATAACTTAGATGGGACGTGCTATCACACCAACCATATTCGCCAGATCGAGCACACTCAGATTATTACTTGTTCCGGTCTATACAAATTTTTTTTAACTGTAAGACATTTACTTGAAATGACAATGTCAAAAATCACTTGGATCAGTTTTTTGTAAGCAATGATCAAAACTTTTATGAATGTGAAATCATGCTACTACTAGAAATGATGACAACAGGTATTTGACCAAAATGGTTGATATATAATTCAATAAAATATTTATTTATTATAAAAATATTGTGTTTTTTTCCATGGAAAAAAACGAACTTACTTTCCGAACAACTCAATACTTTTACAGTTAGTATTTTTAATATTTAACTTACATTAATATTTATTAATATAAAAAAATTAATTTTTAACAAATATTTAATAAGAGGAGAAAGGGAGATGATAAAATTCTACATCTACATATATTCAACAGCATTTTCACTTCAATTTCACCTTTCCAGAAGAGTTATTCCAACTAAAAAGTATGCGTTCTAGCTACTTCAGCTCCTTGTTCAGAAAAGAAAAATATATACTTTGATCAATTAGTCTAGCTCATTCAGAAAATTAAAGTACTTATTTAGAGCAGGGATAATAAAGGAATGATTCGAAAATACAGTGGTACCTCAGTATATGTCTGCTTTAGAATATGTCCAATTCAGAATATGTCCTGTTTGGACAAAACAAATTTTGCTCGGTATATGATTTAATTGCAATTATACGGACAGTGAAGATCTAGTGAAGTTCTTTTCCAAACTCCATCTTGTGGAGTTGGTTTCCATGTGTATCACAATTCGAAATAGTGATCCCGGTTCGATGGAAACCACACCTCCATACTCAAGTTTATTTACAGATTCTATATGTAGTGTACAAGTTTAATAATATAATACAAGTTGGAACAAATTAGAGTAAGAAATTCAAGGATGAAATTCTTTAAATATCCTGGATTTCAAGGACAAAGCACAGATTTTTGTCATTTTTATATTACAAAGTGACCCATGCAGTCCTCTCTTTGTTTTGTGTGTCATTGTCCTCACCAAAGTTCCATTGTTCCTGTCTTTGCTTCTCCATCATCCTCCATTCACCAGACTTTTACACAACACCACCCTGGGACTGCCAAGGAAACATCGAAGAGACACCTTTGGATGTTTTTTAACTTAAGATCTTTGACTGAGAAGGAGTATCTCCCTGACAACTTTATAAGCTGCCAGTTTACAAACTTTAACAAACAGGTTTTAATTATAATGGTGCCTAAGTCAGTATGTGTTCACTACCATCCATATACCATCCTACATTCTTCATATATCTTGACTGGAGTCTGACTGACTTCCCTTCCCTGGTCATCAAACCTCACACAATGGAGTTTCACCACTTACCATATACATGCTTTGCCTATAATCAACTATCAGTGTTGATTGCCATTTTGTTTCTGGATCAACCTATAAACCCAAGTTTTATTACTGGTTATCAATTTATCTGCTCACATCTTGTCATTTTCATCTATCTGGAGCATTTGGTTTGGGTAGACCATTTGGCATTCCTCTTTCTGCTCTTGGGAATATCCAAGGACTAAATTTGCTTGCTTTTCTTTTTAAATCAAGATCTTCATGAATGATTGAAGGACAGTCTACATGACATATTGATTTCTTCAGCAACTTTTCTGATAATTATCCTGTAATTTTCAGATATCAAATTCTTAACATTTTCAACAGTTCTAAGTTGTCTTATCATTTTTGGAGTTCAGATCTTACATTATCTATGACTGAGTTGTGGCTAGCTTTAAACCTCTTGTACCATTCAAATGCTGTCATACATTTTATTGAAGCTTGAGAATATTGGCCAATATTTTCAAACTGAAGCAAAACTTCAAACAAATGCATTGTTTGTGTAATTCTTTTATTGAAAATCATCAAAACAATGTTACTATGTGTACTTTGAATCAAATTTTCTAGAAATATAGATGCTGCACATGATTGTTGTCATACTCACAGTAAAGTCAAGTTCTTCTGTTTTTTAAAACTAGCTTTAATTTGTTTTTATTTATTTATTTTATTTATTTATTTTATTTTTTCTTTATATTAAGCCAGTCTGGGAGATTTAAGATCATATCTTGTATAATGATAACTTTTAGAATTTTTAGAAATATAAAACAGAATTTAAATATTCTATTTTAATAGCAAAGGATCAAAAATAGTCTAGACTAGATTGAAAATGCTTATCAATAATTTGATTCATTGGTAAATTTTCTACATATTTAGAAAAGAGGTGGTCATACCAAGTATCTATGTCTTGCCTATATCTAGAGTTGTTAGATTGATAAGACTGGATTAAGGACACCTAAAAATAATTAATGTTACCATTCTCCAATTTTTACTCCACCCTGTCCTACTGCAAAAAAACTGTAAGATTTTTTAGTTAGTAACTAAACATTCTACTTACATTTTTTGGATTTTGACTAAAAAATTATAGTTTTCATATTGATTATAAATATTTGCAAATTTTAGTTTAATTTAGAATATGAAACATTTAATGATAAACCATAGCTTTCTATAGGAAAAGATCCACATATAAAAAAAGTGCTTAGACCCATATATAGATATAAGGATCTGCCACTGCCATTAAGAAATACAGGTATTGAAAAATGAAAACTAAGAACAAATTGTGTCCTTTCTAATTTTAATAAAGGACAAGTACAGTTTAACAAAAATGTTGTTCTTTGAAATAAAGGATTCTGACAACCCTACTTACACTTCACAAGTTTAATATGTTTGTATGATTGATTACATTAGAAATGGATATGAAATTGGAATGCATTCCAATCATGAACATATGTAGCATTATAAATATGACTGGAATTCAATGTATATTGCAACTAGTTTATCTATATAATGTATAGTTTTACAAATAAATTTCTAAATAATAAATGAGAAACCAAACTATAAAAAAGATGACTACTTAGAAAACAACACACAATCTTCACATCATTATGAGTGTATGTATTAGAGAAACCAAACACCTTACCAAAATCCAGTACTGTTTTTAATGAAACCAAAAATGTTTTGATCCAACTTGATGGATCTACTACATTTGTTATTCAAACTGAATATGTATTCTAATAAATTTCATTCTTTTATTCAGTTTGAACAAGTGAAGCAGATCCATCAAGCTGGATTGAAACATTTTTAGTTTCATTAAAAATGTTGCTGGATTTTGGTAAGGTGTTTTGTTTCTCATTTATTTAGTTCTCAGGTTTATGGTGATTGTTTATTGCTTTTTAAACAATTATTTAAATGTCTGATAAAGTATCATAGATGAAAGATTTTTGTTTTTGTCAGTACATTTCAATTTAAAAGTTTAGTCTTTTAATTTTCTGCAGACTCTCTTAACATTGCAGGCCCTTACATAACCTTGCTTCATAGTAGTTATGCTATTGATCATGATGCTGGCTTCTTGTATTATAAACAGTTGTAAATCAGTGAACATATACTATTAAACATTTTACAATTATGAAAGAATAATATTGTCATTGAAANATATTAAAAATTATTTGTTTAAATCTTAGATAAAATGTTATATCGAGAAAAAAAAATCTTCTGTTTCTAGTTATTTTTTCCTTAATCCATCTTCGATCTTATACCTAATCCTATGCAAAAATTCTATCTAATGAAAATCTGAATGAGTCAATCTCAATAGTATACAATTTGTGTGAAATTTCAAATTGACGTGATAGAAAAGGGATGCTGAATTGTGCTGGCCTATATTTAGAGCATAGAAATTCTGAATATTTCAGTGATGCTTTTCAAGGCTGATACTATATCAAAGTTTGATTTAAATTTAATTTTAAAATGTTTTCAGATTTAAACTTTTTTCTTAATTGCTTTTCAATTTTTGCTGCTTTTCACCAGTTACATAACTTCTTTTACAATATAAATTTTCTTCTCTTTTAATTCATTTACTGTAAATTATTGAATAAAGTACAGCTAATCAATTACATAAAACCAAGATCTAGAAAATATTTTTTGTGTAATGTTGTAGTATTAGTTTCAGTAATATTTAATTCATTCAGAAAAGCTGTAATATATAATAAAGATGTAGAAAATTTCTTTCTAGTTTGAGTGTGATGAATCAATTTAATTTATATATCAAAATCATTTTTATTTTATTTATTATCAAAATCTGTTTTTTTATTTAGGATAAAAAAATAAAACCTCCCTAAAAATTTACTAATGCTAACAGAAATAAACTTTCATGAAAAATTGTTTATTTAATTGAATAAAGCTAGCTGAACTCCTTGTATCTAAATTTTCTGTACAATGAATGATGTTTTTTAGTTCCCACCTTAATATTCAAATTGAATAATACTAGTGTTCCTAGCATCATTTTCATTTGTTTCAGTGGTATTGTTTCTGTTATATTGTGGTTATGAGCAATTCAGAGATTTTTATCACAAAATTTTAGTGGTCTTACGGACTTATTCTTAATGATTCATAATAGTTGTATGCTCTTAGAAACTTAGCATAAAGTTGCTATTGGTAACAAATCATACAGGAACACTCCTTTTGATGGAAAAAGTAGATTTATTTTCTATAATTTACAACAGATATGCATTTTGGGCTTTATGCCCCTCTTCAGTCTTTATTTTATTATGTATATTAGTAAAACTAAAAATAATTATAGTGACAGTGGAATAACTAATTATTAAAATTGTGGGGTAAAACTGTAAAAATAAAAATATTTTGGTTAAAATGTATAAAAAAAATTGACTAATAAAGGTAATAAAAACAGACCTTTAAAACCAATAAAAGATGGTTAAAAACAAGGCGTAAATGCTTTCACCATATGTTTATCAGAAAGTCTGATACTTTATACGGTACAACAAAAAAGGAGGTGGGGGAAGAAGAACATCTTAAAACGGACTCTTCTTGTTTCGATAGTAACAGTTGCCAGATCTCGCCGATGACAATGCCAGTATCTAAAGTCATTCTATTAATTTAGTTTATTTTAATAATTTCAATATGTTCAAAAAATTTTCTTTTAATATTTTTTTCTTTTTTAGAAATTTTGACACTGTCAAGTGAGATCGCGTAACCAGCATCATTGTAGTGTGTGGTGACCGCTGAGTTTGTGTAACTATACTTCACAGCCATTATATACTCTCTAATTCTGATTTTTAACATTCTACCCATCTCACCTATGTAATAATATTTTGATTGANCTAAAAATAATTATAGTGACAGTGGAATAACTAATTATTAAAATTGTGGGGTAAAACTGTAAAAATAAAAATATTTTGGTTAAAACGTATAAAAAATTTGACTAATAAAGATAGTAAAACATATAATCCTTAAAACCCTCAGGAAGTCTCAAAACTTCCTGATAAACATAGTGAAAGCCTTTACACCTTGTTTTTAATCAGTTTTTATATGTTTTAAGGGTTTTTTTGTATGGGTGTTCCTGTATGATTTGTTATCAATAGCAAGTTTATGCTAAGTTCCGAAGAACATACAGCTATTGAGAGAATAGCAAGCAATCAAGTTCTAAGGTTCATAATAGTTGTTTTTATATAGTAGTACCTTACCAAAGGCAGTAAATATACATATAGGTCATGCAAAGTTGTTTAAACAGTAAGAAAACAAAATTGTTTGCAGTTTGTAAGGACTTTTTTACTGAACAAAATACTCTAGTTGAGCTATTCTATACAATAAAAATTGGTATATAAACTGTAGCAGTCATTGGAAAAATGCACAAAATTTCTGTTTCAAACTTATCATACAGTAACACACATGAAGAGAATAGACTCTATTATTTAAGACACATTATTTCTGTACAAAGTGGTATACAGAAATAATATATTAAATAATCATCCATTGTCCATCTGTCTGTCTGTCCTTCCTAAATTTCAAGAACTGTGTTAGATAGATAAAAGTCAAGACCATATATGGAAAGCTTAGGGAGCCCCAATAAACTACATATGAACTTCCAGTTTGTACCAGAACTATTTCAATTCAAAAATTTTTCCCTGAAAGGAGTTAGATAAATGACCAGCACAACTGTGTTGCTAGCAGGAAAAGTATGATGTATAGGTGCAAGACATTACTAATTTGAGGTGGAGAGCATGTATTTTATATTAAATAAATTAAAAATATGATTAAAAGTTACTGCCCCACATTGTGATGATGTCACAATAAATAATTGCTCATTATTTTTATATCTAAAGCTAAAGACACTTCTATTAAAGCTGGAACTAGCTAAGTGTAATACTCTGTTCGCATTGAGCATTTCAATCTAGATTGTGATAAGATCAGTGACTGTGCCATGGTGCAATCTCTCTTGATCACTTAAATCTCGATTGAAATGAGGTTCATGATTGACACAAGAGAGTTTTTGAAACTAGATCCAGTCATAAAAGAGTTCTTACAATCCCACATGCATGAAAAGAAACAAGATGGCTGTAGAACAAGAGTCTGGCTATCAACAGAGAAATAAAAAAGATATTTGGAGAGATGACAAGATCTGGCTATTGTTAGATATATGGCACAAAAAGGTAGTAACCAGTTTCCATTTTGTTTGTTGGTGTTTGTGACTTATTGCATAGTTATGTTAGTTTTATCATTGCACGCAATAGCTGGATTCTTCTCAAATGGACTGTATGTGTGAACAGCTCAACGTTTGACTGGTGATACTTGCAATCAAGATTGTGAGTAAATAGAGATTAAAGTGAGTCTTGGATTGTGTATGAACACAGTATAAATCATACTTCTGCTCCTTTTCCAGCAACCAACATTTTATAAAAACAAATTCTTTCAATCACTTTTAGAGGTTTTAAACCAATATAATTTGAACATTTAAACTGAGAAATTCAAAACATTCTTACATTGCTTTTTGTATTTTAAATATGAATTTAAAAATTGAATAAACTGATGTATTTTAAATGCCAGGATGTTAAAATATCTAAAAATATGAAAGAAATTAAGTATGTAAGAATATTATTTAAAAATATATTATTTTATGTGGTAGATTTTGTCTAAAAGTGTGTAAATTGTAAAATAATTCTGAAATATGTAGGCTATTTCCAAATCATTATCTTGATCCTTAAGAGTCAAATATTGAAAATTTTAGGGGGTATTCATGATGGGAGCTTTTCTCACAATTTAGAAGATCTGAATTATACAAAAGCTGTGAATTGTGAACATGCATTTGGATCAGACAATTTCAGGAATGTAACAAACTTAAAAATTTTTGGTATTGCTAACTACAAAAGTTGTAATTCTTATTTTATCCTTATTGGACATTTTATTGTTCAACATTGTTGTCTTTTAAGAGAAGTTATTTTGTACCATTTCTGTAAGTTTAAAAATATGACAAATAGTCCCTCTATTAGTGGATGTCAATACTCCACTAATATACTCTATTAGTGGATGTTTACTCCAAGGCAACTTTCATTTAAACTGTTGGCTTTTGCCACAGAACCTGTACTAATGAAGTCAAGGTCAAGAGAAGTTATGCTTTTTTTACTTTTAAGAAGACTGTAAAAACTGTTATAGCAGGAAAAGCTATGTTCATGAATACCCCTATTATTTAACAACAAAAACTAAAAATATTTATATTTAATTTTAATAGGTGGATTCTGAAAAGAATCAGAACAGGATCTTAATATTTGTGAAGGTGTATCCAAATGTTATCACACCAGATAACTTGTATAGTGACATTTTTATTTCATCCATATCTGATTCTCCTATTACAGCACTTTATCACACTGTTAAAAAAGTATTTGCTCCTGTATTGTTAAGAAATGAACGTTGGAGTGAAATATTTAATCCAAAACTACAGAACTTATTATGTGATTTAGAAGCTGGTCTTGGTACAGTTGTTAGACAAACAGATCCCAATGTTAAAGTACATCAAAACAAGTCTTTATCTGGTAAATATATAAAAGTAGTAAAATTGTATTTTTAAATATATCAATAATAATATTATATTGATAATTAATATAAATTATTAACAAGAATGATGAATTAATTGTTATTGAATGATTATGTATTAAGTTATGAATATATATTGTTGCTTTATATTGATTACATTAAAGATGGAATCATTAAATATCAATTAGTTAACAAAAATAACAATAAATAATTAAATAGTTTAGTCAAAATGGATTTATTAAATCTATGGAATTTATTAATGTAATACAAAAAATTTTATCTAGAGGAGAAAAAGAAAATTTTATTAGTTGATTATTGATTGATTAGTACTAGTTAATTAATTAACATATTAACATATAATATGTATATACTATAAATATGAATTTACATGATTTACTTGATTTTATAAATTTTTTTTTCCAGAAATTCAAACACCATTAGATGAATTTAAATATTGGGCAGATAAATCAATTAATGGAAAAAGTGATTCTGAAAAACAAAGGGCTAGTTATTTTTATGAAATCTTTAATCAATTAGAAAATGGTTTTTCTAATTTAAACTCATTATCATTAGTTGAATGTAAAGATTTCTTTGATATAGTTTTTACTGTGTTAGATGATATCTGGAAACAAGAAGAATATTCTCCTCCATATCCTCAGGACAGAATGGAACATTTATTAGATATTATTGGTTAGTACTAAACTAACAAATTGAAATAACCACTCACCACACTGAAATTATAAAGACACACACTGAACCAATTACAGTGTGATAATAAAATATGGTTAAGAACCTGATGCAGAGCCCAGAAGGGGTTCAAAAACATTTGTTTTTGTTGTTTTATTATGACACCATAATTGGTTCAGAGTGCATCATAACAAATTAAAATTTTAAACTATTACAATTAAATATGAATAAATATAAATTATTCAAATATTAATTCATATTTAATTTTAATGGCTTTTAATTAGCTGAATAATTAAATTTTCTACCTTCTGCTATTAAATATATTTTTACTATTTATAATTATCCATAATATATATATATATAGATATTTGAAGAATCAAGATAAGTTAAATAATGAAATATATATTGAATAAATTTATCAATAATTCAGTATATCTAAAACTAGAAATGATTCATCTAACTAATTAATTGAAGGAATGTATGTATATCTCATAAATGTATATAGATTTTTTATGACATTTATGAGTTATTTTTTATTTAAGTAGCTGAATAATTAATTTTCTACTTTGATGCAATTATCCATTGAAAGATTTTAGTTATAATAATTTTACTAATGGTAATTTTAATGTTAATTTATTTTACTAATAGTAATTAAGTAATAATTCTTTGAACATTAAGTTTATCTTTAATTTTATTCTTTATTAATTTTTATTTTAGGTAATGCAGTTGCTATTCATATTCAGAAGAAGCTTAGTCATTTAGGATTATGGGAGCAGTCATTTTCTGTTATTGAAGATTATCTTCATCAAGCAATTGATTTATGTGAAACTTGGCAAGATATTTGTCAAAAATTAACTACAATTTTTTGGCCAAATTTTAGAAATCATCCATGGAAGAAAAGTGCATTTATTCCAAAATACATTGTAAAATTTTCAGAAAGATTACTTCAGGTAAAAATGTATTTTTTATCATATAATTATGAAAAGTAAATTTTATCTATAAAAATACCTGCTATTTGAAATTATTTAAATAAGTTTTGAATTTCATAATGATTTCTTTTTAGAAAAGTTTTCATAAGAATTAATACAATATATAGTTAATGTTAAAAAACTACAATATAACTCAGCCAGCATAGATATGCCAAGAGAGATGGCAAAATGTCAATGATAGGCATTTCTTGTCTTGTCTTGGACTCATCTTGGAAGGTATTAGGTAGAAAAGAAGCTTTGCTAAAGTGCTCATTAGTTGCTAGAAGTGAATTTAGTATGAGATTTACTTTGTCTTGTCATATACTTTTTAAGGCTTCTTTGTTCTACCATGGAGGTACATCTCATAACAGATACTTTCACAGTGGAACAAAAAACATTCAATTCAGCAAAAGGAAAGCAAAAAATGGTGATTTTATTATTCCTGTTGCTCATTCCACAAACTGTTTGAATCAAATTTCTAGAGTATCATTGTTGAAAATAAAAAAGAATTGCCAAAAAGCAGGCAATGACAATGAGCAAAATTTTACTTCAGCATCCAAAGAAAGACATTCTGGAAACAATGGCATTAGATAGCTTTGGTTGTGATGAGGCTTTCTTTTTGATGTAGAAACCATGGATTGTCCATGGTTTCTACATCAAAAAGAAAGCCTCATCAATTCCTAAATTACTGCCCTACTTAAAAGAAAAGATCAGTTTGTCTTGGAAGAAAAACACATGCCACATAAAGTACTTTTCTTCTTCTGAAAACAGTCCTTTACACATAAATATTTCCTTCCATATCTGAAAAAAACCCCTATTTTACAAATAGACTGGTTTAGTTTATTTATGTCTACTCATATTGATAATCTTGGCTGAGTTGGCTGGACAATGCATAAGAATTTGTATAGTCTGTATAACAAAAATTGAACATCTTTATTTGAATATCACTTTGGACTTGCTTATGTAACTTCAGTTATCTTTTCAAACTAAACAAACTTATGTTCTCTATGTGAACATTACATAACATTTAAGTTATCTGTAACTATCTACAACAGGTTTTGATTTAATAATTTAGAAAAAAATTCACAAAACCAAAAGCAAATTACCTCTTATAGTAAAAGCATGAGAAATTACTTTATTTTTCAGTTTGTTGGCATTTTTATTAAGAAAATTTGCATACTGTTAATATTTAATATTTTCTCATTAGCTTTATTTCACCTTTCATTTGTTTATGTTTAAATATACAACTTGATGTTATTGTTAAGCCTATTCACAATGTGCTTTGTTGTGTTTAAAAAATGTTGAATGTAATCACTAATTATTAGACAGAATATCTGTTTATAGCAATTAGAATCTGCATTATATAGTTTGATGATACAGTCATTTGTTGTAATAATGATAAAATATATACCTGTGCCATAGGCATAAGCAGTGGCATTATTGTAAGTGAATATATGATGACAGTATGAACAAACAGAAAAATGTTGGTCTATATGGATTTGTAAGGTCATATAATCTCAGTCCCAGTCAGATATTGAAATGAAAGGATAATTTTTAAACTTGATTTTTGGAATGAAAGGGATCATGACTGGACAATGAGAGTGGAAAAAGGTCCTATGTTTGGTGAGAGTATTCTGGATAAAGGATGATTCATTAATCCATTTAAAATTTATCAATCCTATTTATTGAGAGAGAGGTTTTTTTTACAATAACAAGAACAATCTCTTTATAAATCATTTATCAAACTTACTTTTTGAATGTCCTTGGTTTCCTCGGTTAATAACGATAAAAAAATATATATATATTTTAACTTAAAAATTAAATGTTTTCATTTATTTTGTTTTAATGTTCAATATATGATGCTTATTTTATCCTTTGTAATGTTTTTTAGATTTTAGATCTGAGAGCTGTACATTATCAATTAACAAAACTTCTTAGTCTTGAAGAACAAAATGAATTACAAATGAATAAAGTTTTTTTAGTGTTTAAAGATTTGAATCCTCTTCAGTATAATTCATACACAGATCAAATATGGAAGTCAGCCATAAAAAGATATGAAGATGAACTTTTTCCTGCTGAAAAAAGAGTTGCTAATAAACTTAGAATGCAATTACAAACAACTCAAAATAATGTCTTGCAGGTAATCTATTAATTATAGTTAATAAATATAATAATGGGAAATAAATCAATCTTAATGTACAGAAATAAAAATACTTTTATTTTGATGAATCATTTAATTATAAAAATACATGTATTTTATTTATTATAGAATTTTTTAAATTTGAAACATAGAAATTAAATTATTACATTTTCTCAAATTTATTGTTCATTACATGATACAAAATATATCTTTAATGAAAACCAAAACAAATTATGATTTTTACACTAAATTTACATTTTAAAAAGTTTTTCAATTTTGTATATCACAATTAATTTTAATTTGATATACAATTTTAAAAAAGTTGAAATAAATTATCTTGTCAATTTTAGTTTATTAATTAATAAATTTATTGAACTTTCTAAACAGAAATATAAATAATATGAAACACTAAAAAACTTTAAAGATATCAAAATACAATTTTTTTTTCATTGTACTAATTGAGATTGCATAAGTTTATTTAAAATGTTTTAGAAACTGCAAATATATACTATATTTTAATTTTTTGTTCCTTTTTATAGAATTTGCTTTAATTCATTTAATAATAATATATACATAATTGTTTAAATCTATACTAGTTAATACAGCAGTTTAAAAGATATGAAGAATTAATTAAAAGGCCAGGAATCCAAAATGAATTAACTCCTGAAAGGTAATATATATTTAATATTTAAATTGATTAATTAATTTCAAGATTTTATCTTAAAGACTATATAATTTACAGAAAAACTATAAATGAAAAAATAAATTTCATAATTTTACTCTTAGAATATTAATGTTTCATATGTATAATTATACAAGAACAACAATTATTTAATAATTTAAGAAAATGAGTGACAATAAAAAAGAAATAAATTGTTTTATGGTTATAGTTTTTTATTTTAATTGACGTATATTAATAATCTTTGATTTTTCAACAGAGAACTAACTTTAATTTTCACTACTTTATTATTACTAATTATTTTAATCATAATGTTTGACAATGATAAAAAGTTACTTGATTATTAAATCTGACAAAATCATTTTTGGAAATTTTTTTGAATTATTATGTATATAAGAATCCTTTCAAATGATTTAGAAAACTTTTGAAAATTTAAAATTTAAAAATAGAAATATTTCTATGTATAAATTAATAATAATAAATTGATAACCTTTATCTAATCTTTGGAATTAAACATCATCAACTTTTTAACTGCTAAAAGTAGGGGAAAAATTTACATTATTTAATTGCATAGTAAGATTAACTTATATAAAAGACACTTGAAATTTTCAAACATAAATTTGTTAGAAATAATCATCAATTTTTAGCTTTTAAAGTAAATTAGCATTTATGTGATTCATAGCATGAGGTTCCATTTACTATTCAAGAATTATCCAAGTATTTATTCCCATCTTTGATATTCATCATTCCTGTATTTGATATTATAGAAAATAAAATGTTTTATGAGTTTAAATGTGTTAGAAGACAGTTTTTATGTGTAATTTTTTTTTAATCTAGGCACAATGATTATAAAAAATCAAGATTGTTCTTAATTTTTTTATATTAATTGCCAAGATAAAGGCAGATTTAGAGTTTGAGTTCTGGATTCCACATTACCTAAAAATAGAAACTTATAATGGAAACTGAAAAAATAAATTCTATTTGAACAAAATTTCATACAATCTAGAAAGAAAAGTTGGCTTTTTGCAATATTTATAGTAATCAATAAATGTAATTATTTTAAAATTTTCATAAATTTAATATTTCTGTTAGGAATGAACAAAATTAACGATCTTTTAAATTTCAAAAAATAAGCCATCTTTGATTTTGAATGAAATAGAGATTTATACAAATATAAACATCCATTAACCCAATTTTTGATTAAGGCCAAATGATCTGCCTGATTATAGTGTATTATAACATAGCTACTATTTAATAATTAAATATTAAATAATTAAATATTAATTTTGCATAGAGGTGTCATCTCTTAAATAGTAATCATATTATAGTCTGATGGCAGATCATTTGGCCTTAATAGAGATTTATAAAAATTGAAATGCAGTAATATACTGATTATCCAAAGTAATATAGACCAATACTACTCAGATAATTAAAACTTGAATAAAATAGATAGCCACAGCCATTTTATATTAAAAATTTCAAATATAAAAGATTCAAAAGTTATATCACTTTTAAGCCTCTTTTTGTGTCTGAGTGAATTTTACTATATAAGAACATTTTTTACATCATTTATTATATAGCTAATATGTACAATAGTTTTAAGAATAAAAAATCTAGAAACAAGATGTGTAACTTTCCCAGTGAAAAATGCTTAGAATTAAGTATTTGTCATACATTTTTAGTTTTTTTTTATGTTTTATTAAATAACTATTTCTAAATATATTTTAGAAATAGTTGTTGTAAAGTTGTAACAGATCATTTGTTGTTATTCTCTGTACATAGAATTCTCCTTACACAGGGGTATCAGATGCTCAAAATATTGATTTCCTGATATTCATTAATTAGAAAATTTCCTGCATTTGAATTTTTGTTACAATCTATATTAATATTAACTTTTTAAATGTATTTCAGCAATTTGAAAAAGTAAAACCTAACTAACAAAATTAAAATGAATAGAGTTAAGGAAATATGTCAGAAAAGTCATGTATACTTTTCTTTTATTTAGAGAAATGCTTCTTGGTCAACTTTTAGAATACATTGCAAATGTACGTCAAGAATTTTCTAATTGTATTAAAGGAAATAATGAAAATTTACCTCAGCTTACAAATATGCCTGAAATTATTAACAGTATAGTATGGGTCAGACAGCTAGAGAAAAAGGTAAAAAGGAATTTTATTCAATATTTATATTAAAGTAAAAGTAATATAAAACTACTGCTTTATCTATAATTAATAAATTAATATAAATGAAGATATTTTTTGTAATTAAAAAATCAAAATGAATTTATCAAACACATAAAAATAATATATTACACTATGTTTAATTGATTACTATTAAAAGTATAAAACAAAATAGCATAAGTAAATTTTTACGTTTTATATTATTCTGTTTAAGTATTCATAATTTAATAGTAATATTTAATAATAATTTTCTTAGGCTGATGAATTTTAGCAAAAATATAAAATAATATCAAACATTTAATAAAGCAATTTTACAAAATGAATGTTAAGTATTTTACATTCTTGCATTTTTAATAAACTGACAACAGTCTTAAAATTATTGTTAAATAGCTATCATATGTTTTCTGTTATATATTACAATGATGATAATTTTATATATTCAGTCATATAACTAATTATATATAATATACTAAAATCAAATAAAAAGTTAACAGTAATAACTAATTAATCTTCTTAATAGCTACCTTTGAAATTGTTATGAATTTGAAAGACTTATCATACCACAGTTTACAATAGGAAAGTTTACTGAGTTTTTATTAAATTAATATGTAAATTTTGGACCTATTAGTGGTTTTATCTCACATATTCTTGTCTTTTCATAGCAAATTCAAAAGTAGCTATTAAGAAGATTAATTGAAAAATAGGACAGAAAGCAAATAATTATAAACAATAACTAAATAACCAAAAAGTTATCACCTTAGATATTAAACTAATTTTGGTAATTTCAATGAAATACAAAAATTATACTACAATACACTCAATTTTGAGGAAGCTGGGTAATCTATAAACTTAACTATATGTGTGTAAGTCTGGTTAATTATATAGGGGAAACTGGGAGACAGCTGCAAATTAGAATTTGAGAACACAAAGCAGCAATTAGACTAAAATATAACCAGTTTAAATGGTTTAAGCATTGTGAGGAATTTGGATCTGTTATTACTAAAAGTAATGTTAAAATCATCTATAGAGAAGGATTTGTATTTTCATAAATTTAAAGAACATATGACAATATACATGCAGATAACACTATAAATTTAAATAATAGAATTGAGATAGAGGGTGTGTGAATTGATGTCATGCAGAATAAAATGTGACTAAACTTGTGACTAAACTAATGCCAGTCAATTGATGATATACAACTAGCAGAAAGTTTATAAATTGTTTTATTTGTTTCAAAGAAAAAGATCAGTTTGTAAGTTTGTTTTTTATATTATTTGTAAGATCTAAATCACATGTTATATTTTTAGCCTGAAGAGAATTAATGTATGAGAAAGCATTCACTTAAAATGTATTGCTTGATAAAAATAAATAATTTTGTTATGAGTTTTTCATTGACATATGTTCTATATCTCTAAGTTCAAGGGGGTAGAAACAAACTGAATATTTTTATGTTGATTTAGCAAATGTCTCTTCAATCTGAAAAAATCTTTCCGGTAGACTACCTCACAGCCAATTCAGGTTATAAACTCCTTTTATTATTCTTTACAGATGCTTTTCGAGCTAGATTAATTTACTAGCTCCTTCTCTGTGCTACAAAATAAATTAAATTGATAAAAAAACAATTTGAGTATCATTTTCTGTAACATTCGAATTGTTTTTAATCAATTTTATAATTTAATTTATTTTGTAGCACTGAGGAGGAGCTAGTAAATTAATCTAGCTTGAAATGCATCTGTAAAGAACAATAAAAGGAGTTTATAACCTGAATTGGCTGTGAGGTAGTCTACCGGAAAGATTTTTTCGGATTGAAGAGACATTCACTAAATCAACATTAAAAACAGCTAAACCATTGGAAATTTCAGAACATGAATATTTTTAGTTTTTAAAGTTTAAGTTTGGTTTTTAAGCTATAGTAAGAAATAAGATTACATTTGATAAATTTTTAAAGTTGATTGCTATTATATTATTATAATAATTTATTTATTTCCTTATTTATTTATTTATTTTATTTACTCATTAATTCAATGAGTTAATTTAAATAAATAAAATGATATGTAGTTAATTTTTGATTTTTGTATTTTTCCTTTATAATTTGTCTATATTTAAAGTTATATAAAATATTTTCAAAATTATGTTAAAATTTATTAAAACATTACTTTTCAGTTAACTGATATTAGAAAGATNAATTAACATATTAACATATAATATGTATATACTATAAATATGAATTTACATGATTTACTTGATTTTATAAATTTTTTTTTCCAGAAATTCAAACACCATTAGATGAATTTAAATATTGGGCAGATAAATCAATTAATGGAAAAAGTGATTCTGAAAAACAAAGGGCTAGTTATTTTTATGAAATCTTTAATCAATTAGAAAATGGTTTTTCTAATTTAAACTCATTATCATTAGTTGAATGTAAAGATTTCTTTGATATAGTTTTTACTGTGTTAGATGATATCTGGAAACAAGAAGAATATTCTCCTCCATATCCTCAGGACAGAATGGAACATTTATTAGATATTATTGGTTAGTACTAAACTAACAAATTGAAATAACCACTCACCACACTGAAATTATAAAGACACACACTGAACCAATTACAGTGTGATAATAAAATATGGTTAAGAACCTGATGCAGAGCCCAGAAGGGGTTCAAAAACATTTGTTTTTGTTGTTTTATTATGACACCATAATTGGTTCAGAGTGCATCATAACAAATTAAAATTTTAAACTATTACAATTAAATNACATTAAAAACAGCTAAACCATTGGAAATTTCAGAACATGAATATTTTTAGTTTTTAAAGTTTAAGTTTGGTTTTTAAGCTATAGTAAGAAATAAGATTACATTTGATAAATTTTTAAAGTTGATTGCTATTATATTATTATAATAATTTATTTATTTCCTTATTTATTTATTTATTTTATTTACTCATTAATTCAATGAGTTAATTTAAATAAATAAAATGATATGTAGTTAATTTTTGATTTTTGTATTTTTCCTTTATAATTTGTCTATATTTAAAGTTATATAAAATATTTTCAAAATTATGTTAAAATTTATTAAAACATTACTTTTCAGTTAACTGATATTAGAAAGATAGCACAGGTATTATTGAAAGATTTGTCAAGTTATCAGAATTTTTCTAAAGAATTGGAAGAGGTAATGGGTGAATTTCATGAATATCATAAAGAACAATTTGGTAATTGGTGCAGAGAAATTCAGCTTGGTATCAAAGAAAAATCCTTGGGGTAAGTTAATAAACTTTTTAAGAATCTGTGTAAATTTTTTCTTGTGTTACAGAAATAAATTCATTGATAAATGATGATTAGAAATTGAGAAAATTACATTTAACTGATTNTTGAACATTAAGTTTATCTTTAATTTTATTCTTTATTAATTTTTATTTTAGGTAATGCAGTTGCTATTCATATTCAGAAGAAGCTTAGTCATTTAGGATTATGGGAGCAGTCATTTTCTGTTATTGAAGATTATCTTCATCAAGCAATTGATTTATGTGAAACTTGGCAAGATATTTGTCAAAAATTAACTACAATTTTTTGGCCAAATTTTAGAAATCATCCATGGAAGAAAAGTGCATTTATTCCAAAATACATTGTAAAATTTTCAGAAAGATTACTTCAGGTAAAAATGTATTTTTTATCATATAATTATGAAAAGTAAATTTTATCTATAAAAATACCTGCTATTTGAAATTATTTAAATAAGTTTTGAATTTCATAATGATTTCTTTTTAGAAAAGTTTTCATAAGAATTAATACAATATATAGTTAATGTTAAAAAACTACAATATAACTCAGCCAGCATAGATATGCCAAGAGAGATGGCAAAATGTCAATGATAGGCATTTCTTGTCTTGTCTTGGACTCATCTTGGAAGGTATTAGGTAGAAAAGAAGCTTTGCTAAAGTGCTCATTAGTTGCTAGAAGTGAATTTAGTATGAGATTTACTTTGTCTTGTCATATACTTTTTAAGGCTTCTTTGTTCTACCATGGAGGTACATCTCATAACAGATACTTTCACAGTGGAACAAAAAACATTCAATTCAGCAAAAGGAAAGCAAAAAATGGTGATTTTATTATTCCTGTTGCTCATTCCACAAACTGTTTGAATCAAATTTCTAGAGTATCATTGTTGAAAATAAAAAAGAATTGCCAAAAAGCAGGCAATGACAATGAGCAAAATTTTACTTCAGCATCCAAAGAAAGACATTCTGGAAACAATGGCATTAGATAGCTTTGGTTGTGATGAGGCTTTCTTTTTGATGTAGAAACCATGGATTGTCCATGGTTTCTACATCAAAAAGAAAGCCTCATCAATTCCTAAATTACTGCCCTACTTAAAAGAAAAGATCAGTTTGTCTTGGAAGAAAAACACATGCCACATAAAGTACTTTTCTTCTTCTGAAAACAGTCCTTTACACATAAATATTTCCTTCCATATCTGAAAAAAACCCCTATTTTACAAATAGACTGGTTTAGTTTATTTATGTCTACTCATATTGATAATCTTGGCTGAGTTGGCTGGACAATGCATAAGAATTTGTATAGTCTGTATAACAAAAATTGAACATCTTTATTTGAATATCACTTTGGACTTGCTTATGTAACTTCAGTTATCTTTTCAAACTAAACAAACTTATGTTCTCTATGTGAACATTACATAACATTTAAGTTATCTGTAACTATCTACAACAGGTTTTGATTTAATAATTTAGAAAAAAATTCACAAAACCAAAAGCAAATTACCTCTTATAGTAAAAGCATGAGAAATTACTTTATTTTTCAGTTTGTTGGCATTTTTATTAAGAAAATTTGCATACTGTTAATATTTAATATTTTCTCATTAGCTTTATTTCACCTTTCATTTGTTTATGTTTAAATATACAACTTGATGTTATTGTTAAGCCTATTCACAATGTGCTTTGTTGTGTTTAAAAAATGTTGAATGTAATCACTAATTATTAGACAGAATATCTGTTTATAGCAATTAGAATCTGCATTATATAGTTTGATGATACAGTCATTTGTTGTAATAATGATAAAATATATACCTGTGCCATAGGCATAAGCAGTGGCATTATTGTAAGTGAATATATGATGACAGTATGAACAAACAGAAAAATGTTGGTCTATATGGATTTGTAAGGTCATATAATCTCAGTCCCAGTCAGATATTGAAATGAAAGGATAATTTTTAAACTTGATTTTTGGAATGAAAGGGATCATGACTGGACAATGAGAGTGGAAAAAGGTCCTATGTTTGGTGAGAGTATTCTGGATAAAGGATGATTCATTAATCCATTTAAAATTTATCAATCCTATTTATTGAGAGAGAGGTTTTTTTTACAATAACAAGAACAATCTCTTTATAAATCATTTATCAAACTTACTTTTTGAATGTCCTTGGTTTCCTCGGTTAATAACGATAAAAAAAAATATATATATTTTAACTTAAAAATTAAATGTTTTCATTTATTTTGTTTTAATGTTCAATATATGATGCTTATTTTATCCTTTGTAATGTTTTTTAGATTTTAGATCTGAGAGCTGTACATTATCAATTAACAAAACTTCTTAGTCTTGAAGAACAAAATGAATTACAAATGAATAAAGTTTTTTTAGTGTTTAAAGATTTGAATCCTCTTCAGTATAATTCATACACAGATCAAATATGGAAGTCAGCCATAAAAAGATATGAAGATGAACTTTTTCCTGCTGAAAAAAGAGTTGCTAATAAACTTAGAATGCAATTACAAACAACTCAAAATAATGTCTTGCAGGTAATCTATTAATTATAGTTAATAAATATAATAATGGGAAATAAATCAATCTTAATGTACAGAAATAAAAATACTTTTATTTTGATGAATCATTTAATTATAAAAATACATGTATTTTATTTATTATAGAATTTTTTAAATTTGAAACATAGAAATTAAATTATTACATTTTCTCAAATTTATTGTTCATTACATGATACAAAATATATCTTTAATGAAAACCAAAACAAATTATGATTTTTACACTAAATTTACATTTTAAAAAGTTTTTCAATTTTGTATATCACAATTAATTTTAATTTGATATATAATTTTAAAAAAGTTGAAATAAATTATCTTGTCAATTTTAGTTTATTAATTAATAAATTTATTGAACTTTCTAAACAGAAATATAAATAATATGAAACACTAAAAAACTTTAAAGATATCAAAATACAATTTTTTTTTCATTGTACTAATTGAGATTGCATAAGTTTATTTAAAATGTTTTAGAAACTGCAAATATATACTATATTTTAATTTTTTGTTCCTTTTTATAGAATTTGCTTTAATTCATTTAATAATAATATATACATAATTGTTTAAATCTATACTAGTTAATACAGCAGTTTAAAAGATATGAAGAATTAATTAAAAGGCCAGGAATCCAAAATGAATTAACTCCTGAAAGGTAATATATATTTAATATTTAAATTGATTAATTAATTTCAAGATTTTATCTTAAAGACTATATAATTTACAGAAAAACTATAAATGAAAAAATAAATTTCATAATTTTACTCTTAGAATATTAATGTTTCATATGTATAATTATACAAGAACAACAATTATTTAATAATTTAAGAAAATGAGTGACAATAAAAAAGAAATAAATTGTTTTATGGTTATAGTTTTTTATTTTAATTGACGTATATTAATAATCTTTGATTTTTCAACAGAGAACTAACTTTAATTTTCACTACTTTATTATTACTAATTATTTTAATCATAATGTTTGACAATGATAAAAAGTTACTTGATTATTAAATCTGACAAAATCATTTTTGGAAATTTTTTTGAATTATTATGTATATAAGAATCCTTTCAAATGATTTAGAAAACTTTTGAAAATTTAAAATTTAAAAATAGAAATATTTCTATGTATAAATTAATAATAATAAATTGATAACCTTTATCTAATCTTTGGAATTAAACATCATCAACTTTTTAACTGCTAAAAGTAGGGGAAAAATTTACATTATTTAATTGCATAGTAAGATTAACTTATATAAAAGACACTTGAAATTTTCAAACATAAATTTGTTAGAAATAATCATCAATTTTTAGCTTTTAAAGTAAATTAGCATTTATGTGATTCATAGCATGAGGTTCCATTTACTATTCAAGAATTATCCAAGTATTTATTCCCATCTTTGATATTCATCATTCCTGTATTTGATATTATAGAAAATAAAATGTTTTATGAGTTTAAATGTGTTAGAAGACAGTTTTTATGTGTAATTTTTTTTTAATCTAGGCACAATGATTATAAAAAATCAAGATTGTTCTTAATTTTTTTATATTAATTGCCAAGATAAAGGCAGATTTAGAGTTTGAGTTCTGGATTCCACATTACCTAAAAATAGAAACTTATAATGGAAACTGAAAAAATAAATTCTATTTGAACAAAATTTCATACAATCTAGAAAGAAAAGTTGGCTTTTTGCAATATTTATAGTAATCAATAAATGTAATTATTTTAAAATTTTCATAAATTTAATATTTCTGTTAGGAATGAACAAAATTAACGATCTTTTAAATTTCAAAAAATAAGCCATCTTTGATTTTGAATGAAATAGAGATTTATACAAATATAAACATCCATTAACCCAATTTTTGATTAAGGCCAAATGATCTGCCTGATTATAGTGTATTATAACATAGCTACTATTTAATAATTAAATATTAATTTTGCATAGAGGTGTCATCTCTTAAATAGTAATCATATTATAGTCTGATGGCAGATCATTTGGCCTTAATAGAGATTTATAAAAATTGAAATGCAGTAATATACTGATTATCCAAAGTAATATAGACCAATACTACTCAGATAATTAAAACTTGAATAAAATAGATAGCCACAGCCATTTTATATTAAAAATTTCAAATATAAAAGATTCAAAAGTTATATCACTTTTAAGCCTCTTTTTGTGTCTGAGTGAATTTTACTATATAAGAACATTTTTTACATCATTTATTATATAGCTAATATGTACAATAGTTTTAAGAATAAAAAATCTAGAAACAAGATGTGTAACTTTCCCAGTGAAAAATGCTTAGAATTAAGTATTTGTCATACATTTTTAGTTTTTTTTTATGTTTTATTAAATAACTATTTCTAAATATATTTTAGAAATAGTTGTTGTAAAGTTGTAACAGATCATTTGTTGTTATTCTCTGTACATAGAA